AAGTACCACAACAAACTTACTTCAACACAGAATATTTATTATCCTTTTTGTATTAGAGAGTTCAACTTTTGTATTCAACTTACCTTACTGTTGTTCGGGAAGATAATATCACTTGAGTGTGCTCTAGAGTAAAATCCTATGATAAGTGATTTTGATAAGTGCCCCTCTACCCACCCTTCACGTTTACTTGGCTTTTTTTCGATTAATATGTTACTTGTAGGTAATGCATATTTGGTTACAGGATTTCATCATGAGCTGACATTGGTTAAAGAACCATTGGAAAACCTGCAGGAAGTACTGGTCAGCTGTTCAGCTAAGTAGTTCTAATGAGAAGTTGTGACCAGTAGGCTGCAGCAAGTCGAATATGAGGACAAATACTCGCCAAAGACATTGGCAAGTGCCAGTCGCGCTATGTCGTGCGTGAAATGGCAGAAATTAGAATTCATGGGTCATTGGATCGAGTCCCAGTGGCCTAATGGTCTAGGAACTTGCTGACCTTGTAACCAGAAGATCCTGGGTTTGAACCACAGTGGGGTGAGTGCTTACTGTTGAAGAGTCTCAGACTAGACTGACGAAACAGCTGTCTGTCAGTACTCCCTGGCTGGTTTTCCAATGGTTCTTTATCCAATGTCAGCTCATGGTGAAATCATGTAGCCAATCAACCAAATCCCTACTAATCAATACGAATATTAATGCATATTTCCCTGAATCATTCAGTATTAATCACATTTGAAACTATACACTCACTGTGTCCTGCCTGTATTAGCATATATCATTATGGTTTCATTGGGGAAAAAAACTGATCTCAAACGTAAACTGTCAAGGTTTGTGTGTGTGTGTGTGTCAGATGCTATTGATGGTTGTTTAAAAAAAGACTGACTCTATTGACGCTGATTGTCTGTTTGTCTTTTAACTGTTCTGTTTGATAACTTAACATTTTTGACTTTGCATGGTGGATTTTATCATGAGCTGACATCAGTTAGAGAACCACTGTAAAAGCTGGGAGTACTGGACAGCTGTTTCCTCCATCCTAGTTTGGGACTCTTCATCAGTACACACCCACCACAGGGGTTCGAACCCGCGACCTTCTGGTTACAAGGCCAGTAAAAACTCGTAGACCATTAAGTCACTGGGACCCGATAGAATGGTCAGCCAGTGCATGAATTCTAACTTCTGTCAGTTCACGACATAGCGCGACCAGGATGCGTATTTCGCCCTGTTTGGGACTTATCAGTTGGGTCAATGGTCTACGAGCTCGCCTTGTAACCAGAAGGCCCGGGTTTCGAACCCCCTTGGGTGCGTACTGCTGAATAGCCGGTCCCAAACTAGGATGTAACAGCTGGCTGTCCAGTTCTCCCGGATTTTCCAGTGGTTCTCTAACTGATGTCAGTTCTTGATGAGTGAAATCCTCCATCCAATCAAACGAAATCAATCCTTGAAATTTTGACTTTGTCAATTGTATAGTTGCTAAAAATAATTTAGCTTTTTTTTGTGTACAAATATCACTATGTATTCTATAGTTTTCACTGGAAGTGCTGGATTCCATTGCTAGTCACCATCCACCAATTAACTTTTAATTACATTTCCAGACATCGTCGAATCATCTGCACAAGAAGAAGCCAACAGACATGTCAACCTGAGACCGATCACTTCGGTTCAATCAGTCGATGGGGGAAAAAATCAAAATTCAATTAAATAATTAATGTGACCCGTTGTACGAGAAGTCGGGTGGCTCTCGTTGCCCAAGTGGTGTAGTATATAACGCTTTGGCTGTTTTGTTTGAAACTATGATCACTGGGTTCGAGCCTCGGTGATGGGAACATCTTCACTGACTGATTGGGGAATGCAGGTACATCCTCATGTCAACTGAAGAGTCCCAAATAGGACGTAAGAAATTCGCGTTATTTTGAACTGGATTTCACTGCTAGTCACCATCATCCACCAATTAATCTGTTGTCCAGTCATGAGTAGTAGTGCTTGTGTTTTGGAGAAGTACGCATTCTGGACTTTTCTTTGTTTGCCTTACGACCAGTATAGTGAGGTGTAATGCAGATTCTTCTCTGTTAGCGGCGACAGACAGGGTTGCCCAATCTCTCCATTTCTCTTTAACTTTGCCATCGATGACATTCTGGAGCCAGCTCTGAAGCATGTGTGTGAAGGTGGTGTAGATCTGCTTCCAGGAAATAAACTTTTCGACGTCGAGTATGCAGACGATATCGTCTTACTGTGCGATAGCATGCAGGCTGCTCAAATCGCACTTAATCAGTTGGCGATCAGTGTGTGTAAGTATAGTATGTGCTTTGCGCCGTCTAAGTTCAAAGTACTGTTACAAGATTAGCAGAAGCCTATACCTGCACTCACTCTTGCGGGGGAGCTGTTTGACGTTGTTAATAAGTTTTTGTCTCTGGGTAGTTGTGTGAGTGCTGGTGGAGGGATGACGGATGAGACTTCCAACCGTGTAATGAAGGCTAGAGTGGCATACATCAACTTGAGGCACTTATGGCGCCGTCGCGATGTTAGCCTGGCTGTCAAAGGTCGGGTATACAATGCTTCGGTGCGGGCTGCCCTGCTCTACTCCTGTGAAACCTGGCCTCTCCGAACTGAGGATGTGCGGCGACTCTGCGTGTTCGATCATCATGTCTGGCTCTGCAGGATTACTTGCGTTCGATGGCATCATCGCGTGAGTGATTCTGAGGTTCGGTGGCGTGTTTTTGAACACAGTGAAGATCACTATTCATTGAGTGTCGTCATCTGGAAACACCGACTCCGGTGGCTTGGACATGTGTTGCGAATGTCATCCCAGAGGCTTCCGTGCAGGTCTCTGTTCGCTGGCCAACCCTGGGACGGGATGGAAAAGGCGGAGAGGTGGTCAGTACATGACGTGGCGTCGTAGGATGTAGGATTTTTGTGCTAGGTTAGCATCGGTTGGTGCGTCACGACTCCCTGGCTGGAGTCCGCGAGATAGCTTGAATCGATGGCTCGAAACGTTATTGGATATGGCCAGAAATCGTAGTCATCAATGGCGAACGTGTTGTAATTTCCTTCTTTCTTCCCTTCCTGATGATAGTTGACGAATACTGTTTGAACTTGTTAAGTAGTATGACTGTTTTCCTTCCGGGTGAAGTTCTTTATCCGCTCTCTACTTATATTTCTTACTTTTAATCTATGTTGTTGTATTATTAATATTGTGTGGCGCATCCTTCTTGGTGCCATATTGTACCAAGTTTTTTCTGCGTTTAAATAAATAAATAAAAATAAACAGTTAGCGGTGCATGTACAAAGGAAAGACGAATTTATCAGCACACTTGATGTGCATATACAAAAAGTGGTTCTGATGCCGCAAAGTTGTGTGTGTGTCTGACAGTTGTTGTTCACTAGGATAGAGTATTTCTTCGAGTTGTTTTTTTGTTTTTTTCACTTCTCACAGACAGTATTGTTGCTTTCTGTGATGAAATTGGGTGACTTCACAAAGTTCGCTTGGTTACCAATTAGTGTGCACTAATTTCGATAAGGTGTCACGTCCTGAAAAGTCAAAATGGATTGATATGAACCAATAACTTAACTTCTTCGTTGGTACCCTTCCCTCTGCTCGTGGAGCATCAAGATTATTTATTATTTCTTTCTGAGCTGCCGATTTCCACCACTGTAGTTATTTTTTTTTTAGTAATTCTTTATATCTCGAAAAATACCCATTTATTCATAAGTAAAAACACAGTTTTCTTTTTGTTCAGCGAAGAAATTTCTCCACTCAACGACTTCATTTTCAAGCCAACTGTACAGTCGTATTTATATTACAGAAAAAGGTGGTTATTAAGTGGCGATAAATAAATGCTCAGTCAATGTACGTATATATGTGATAAAAGTTGTAAGGGGTAGAGTTGAAGTGGATAAATTACAAAAATATTAAAGATTGTTTTATAACAACAATGTCAAGTGTTGTCTAAAAATTTTGAAAATTAGGAGTACGATTACGATAAGAATGAAGATGTGAAGTGAAGTGGAAGGAATTCAAGTGGTAAAATAAAATAAAAACTAGAAAGAATATTATTATGACCAAGGTAAAGAAAGGGGTTTGACAAAACACTTTTGAACACATAATTTAGGTTTCTGTTCATGTATAGCTAAAGCTTCGGCTAGCCATTTAGATAACTTTGAAAGATGAATCACGTGGGGCTAAATGACCAGACTCTAACAGGTGATCACAAATAGACGACTTTGCAGTTCTACGTTCGCCTTTCATTAACCAAACCGGATAGTGTTCAGCTACACGTTTTCGGAGATTGCGCTTACAACGTCGTCCAATATAAACAGCTCCACAAGAGAAGGTAAAAGGGTAAATGCACATAGATGTGGGCAAAAGCGGTAATCTATCCTTGACGCATTGTCTAATCATATTTCGGCTGGTAAAAACTAGTTGCAGGTCAGCTGCAGGAAAAGTGCGTTTAACACATTTAGATAAACGATTTTTAATCAATTCTGAAATGGTGTCACCTTTGAATGCAAGACTCATAAACAGTTTTTTCTTTGGTACTGTGACTTGTCTCGGGGCGGATTCTTTCTCGATGTTAAGGAGATTTGATCGAAGGTTATCTAGTTCCCTATTGATTGTCTCTGCAAAGCAGATTTTACGAATTCTGGAGTATAAGAAATGAATAAGATTTCTCTTTCTCCCTAAAGGTACCCAACTGTTGAAGTTAGTGTACTGCCCAGTGAATGTTGGCTTTCGGTAAATCGACCTTAACAGCGTTCCATTCTCTCTTCTAACTAGCTTAACATCAAGGAAGTGAAACGAAGAATCCGACCCTTCTTCGATCGTGAAAAGCAAAAATGGGCGAGAACCATTAAATATTCTAAGAAGTTCAGCAGTTGAAGAGTTTTCATCACATGCAATGAAGGTGTATCATCAACAACGATTCTTTATATGCCTGCCAGGTTAACTTTCAATGGTTTTGTGTCTCTTAATTATTTATTTATTTTTCAATCTTTTTTTCTTTTAACAGGACGAGAGGCCTATCCTGTATACAATGATATCGATGTATTGATTTCTGTTGATTTAACGTCAAACACTTCAACAATTCAAAAGGTCAAATCTGCTGTATTGAATGCACTGATAAGTTTTTTACCCGATGAAAAGTTAGAAGCTAGTCAACAGGAGAGTTCAAAAAGGATTCAACCAATGCAACGCAGTTTAAAATTTAACACCTTAACCGGTTCATGTTGCAACCTTCAGCTGAACAGTGATGATAATACTCCAAACATTTCATCAAAAGATAATCAAAGTATATCAACAGCTGCTTCTTCACCGAGTACTTCTCCTGTAAGAATGAAGAGTCATATGAGCTCTACAGAATTGAGAAATATTGATAGGATGAGAATGCCAAATTCTAATTCCAGTAAAAAAGAATTCACTGATTTTTCAGACAGTTCTCCAGATAATCATCAATGTGATGTGCATCATCATTCATCAACTGTTGTCTCAAAATCTAACCATATTGATTGTTCATGTTCAGTTCAACCTTCTTCTTTAATGATTAATTCCCCTTCTTCTCTTCAATCTGGGCAGCAGCAACAGTCCGTCTACACCACCAGTAATAATTCACCATTCATTACATTGAATGTGAACACTATTCAAAGCTCTGCATCTACACCGAATGCTGCCTCCAGTCCATCAGACGGCTTCAGTTTACGCGAATCTTATGTATACAAACAATTTCGTAAATTTAGTCAAGATGATGATTGTTGGTCATTGTTATCTCTTGGAATGCCTTCATCAGATTCAAAAGTCATTGAATTCAAATTTGTGGATCGTATGAAGCGTCAATTTGAATTCACTGTGGATAGTTTTCAAATTATTTTAGACCCATTATTATCATTTTATGAATGTAATCCAGCAAAAGGTATTAATCCCCACTTTTATCCAACTGTTGTCGGTGAATCTGTAGCTGGATCGTTTTCTGAAGCACTTTATCACCTGGAGAATAAATTGATAGCGACTATAGAACCGGAAATGATTCGTGGTGGTGGTCTACTGAAATACTGTCGACTCCTAGTAAGTGGTTATAAACCGGTCGAGGGTGTTGATGTGCACACCCTAGAGAAATATATGAGTTCAAGATTTTTCATCGATTTTCAAGATATCACTAGTCAAAAAGTGAAATTGGAAGCATTTTTAGCCAATCATTTCAGTGAACATGAAATATCTGTTAAGATTAACTATCTACGCATTTTATATCAAGTTGTCAGTGGTTCTACTATCTGTTTAATGTCACATGAACATTTTCAAACTTTAAATCTTATTACAGAAATGTTACGTTATTTAATGCATTATTATCATTATTGTTATTCACAATTCAATCGATCCTCGTTAAGTTTAGAATGGTTTACTGAGAAACAAAATCTTGTCTTGGATAAAATTTATTTTGGTACACAATTATTTCCTGTCATCTCACGAAGTGAACCGTATTCATCAAGTCATTGTTATTGTCGTCTTGCAAATAAACCAACGCCTGTTATACAAAGTCATTCAAAGATTGAGCAAAAATCAAGTTGTACGTTTTATAATGGAAAGAAGAACAATTTACAGACAGTGTCATCGGCATCACCATCGTCAACTGATACGACAAAATTAAAATCTGATGCTGTTATCCAGAGTGATGAACAGAATAATAAATAAATAAATAAGATTTTTCTGTTCCTTTCATCATATTTTGAGTAAATTTTTTTGCATCTTTTCTCTTCCTTTCTCGTTTTCTTGTCTTTGTCGTGTTCACATTATCATCATCACCGTCATCATCCTCAGCAGCAAAAGTCATTCGCCCATTAACAAAAAAAGTGTGTTTAAGAAAAAAGAAAACTAGTCCGAGTAAAAAGCCTTTTATTTTCAACCTACACTACTCACACACACACACACACCTGGAATACGCATTTAATGATGAATAACAAACGAATGAATGAATGATTGGATGAATGTAGACACTCTCTTTAAAAATGAACTTCTCAATAATCTACACAATATATTGCATGTCTTTGCTGATTGTAATACCAATACCAGTAATAATTTCATCGCAAAATCAAAATACCCAGCTACAAAAACATGTCTATTCGAAAGAGGTGCATGAGTACCATATTATTATTATTATTATTATACATTTGTATCGTAGGGAAAAAACAACTAAAATTCACTTCACATTGCAACAACAAAAAAAGAAAAGATTTAAACTTGAAAAAAAACAAGCCCGGTGAAGGGTGTTTTCTATGTATTCATCTGTGTGTGTGATCGTCTGTTTGTTTGTTTGTTCATGTTACATCATCAGATTGATTGACTGATTCGTATTCATATTCTTCTATTTGTTCTCATATTATATTTACCCTTTGTATTATTTACACGTATATTTTGTGTGTCTTTCATTGTTTGTTCTTGTATATAAAAGTCAAAAACCCGTTTGTGTATGTGCGTGTGCGTGACGTCGTGTTTGTCTCTTTCTCTGTGTGTGTTCTTCTTCTCTGTGGAAAATCAATATCATAAAAAAAATTTCCTATCACAAATTGTGTCATATTGTAGTTATTGTACTATTTATTGTACGTGAATATACCACCAGCTACGCTACACCTGCCTATCTATCTGTCTATCTGTGTCTTTGTCTCTCATATCTCTAAAAATTGCTGGGGGGTGTTATTGTTTTGACGAAATAATCCACTTCGGAGGATCTCCTGATGTCGTGTTTCTGATGAAATCATCATCCATATACACACACACGGGCACGAACACTAAAGTACAACCATCCAACCAGCTGTATGTCACATTTCAATCAGATTTAAAGAGAGAGAGAGAGAATTCAATAATAATAATAATAACTTGAATAAAATGAAGAGTATTCAAATGAATAAATAAATTTTTATTGTCTTAGTGTTCATATACTCCTACTTTTGCAACACAGTTTTCTTCTCTTCTTCCTGATTTCTATCTAATATTAACTGGCGGACATCCCCCCTCCAACCCCCCAGCCCCCGAAATACATGTGAACGAACATTCTAACCGATTTGTAAGATATATATATATATATATATATATATATATATATATATATACATTCTCTTCTCATGACGAATAACCCCTTTGTGTACACTTTTCACAAAACAAAAATCATGTCTACGTGGCGATGGCGATGACCATGGTGATGGTGACGATGATGATATGAGATAATAACACATCCGTGATGATGATGCTGATGATGTCGCTGCTGCTGCTGCTGCCCAGCTGTGCGAGTTGTGTTGTGTGTATGTGTGTGTGTATTGTCAACGCTATTTGTGTTCACTGTCGTCGTCGTCATAAAATATACGGGAAGGGGGGTGGAGGAGAAGTGAGATATCAAGGAGGATATAATAAAACACATACTACTTCCTTCCTTTCATTCATTCATTCATTTTCATGGTGATTTCCTAAGAGGTTAGACACACACACACAGACTAACTAACTCACAAATTTGTTGCTTAATATCCATTACACTAAAAGAGTGACTATTTTTGTCATGTGCGCTCCACACCACATTGTGTGTGTATTTTGTGTTTGTCTGTTTTTTGTACTCGTATTTGTATTTGTTGTTTTGTTTCTGTGATCTGTATTTTGTCCCAGTGGTGATTATTACTATTATTATTATTATTATCACTCAAACTTGAGTTTTAACCTGTAAAAACACGATCAGTCAGAGAAAACAAAAAAGAAGAAGAGGCGGTGAAGAAGAGAGATTTGAGGACATTTCAATCATCAAGATAAAATAGGATTTATAAAACAAACCAACAAACAAATAGATGAGATGCGTCCACATTTTTGTGTATTTGTTCAATTGTGTTTACCGTGTTCGTTCAATTTGTTACATTTGTTACACATAATACGCATATTACTATTATTATTTTCTTTTGTTATAACTATTTGTCTATTTCTCTTGGCTGAGATAATTATTCTACGCTTATATATATATATATATATATATACATATTTCATCAACATTGTCAGCGTGTGTGTGTGTGTCTTGTTCTATTGTTATTACAACTTGTATTACACTATTACTATTACCACACCATCATTACACACTATATTGTCAAGAAACGGAATCCCTGACTGACTGACTGACCACCACTCAGCCTAGTACGAGTACACTTCTATCCAGTCAGTCAGCCAGCTAGCTAAAAACTCTAATTGAACTAGCACAGACCAACCGACCGACAGACAGGCGCACCAGATTCATTGACAATCTATTTTTCAAAATAAAACTGGCAAATAATCATTGCTGATATAATTATTATTATTATTACGACATTTATTATGACTATTATTTATTTGTTTATTTACCTATTGACTATTTAAATATTCGAGAAAACAAGTAAAAATAAAATGACTTATTTTGCTCACTTTTAAAACCCAGTTGATTCTTTATTTCTGCTTATCGGTGGGAAATAATATATCTATAGTGGTCTATTATTGAGTAATAGCTGGTGGGGAGCGGGGCGGTGACATAATTGATGCAATTATTCGGAAGTGGATTTAAAAGTGAAACAAAATCACATGTTGTAAACTACACGTGGTACTCAACGGTGCAAAGATAGAAATTTGATAAGGAAGGTTAAAATTGCTGTTGGGTGAGTGAGTGAAAGAGAATAAAGGTGGTAGTTGAGCGTCAATTGACCAAGTGTGTCTAGAGGGTGTGAAAATGTACAACAGATCGAATATATGAAAAAACAAGTAAAAATAAAATGACTTATTTTGCTCATTTTAAAAAAGAAAAACCCTTAAACTGATTCATTATTATTATTATTATTTATTATCTGTAATGAAACTGGTCGGCTTGATGTGAGGTACAGTCAACCGAGGTTGTCGGCGACGATTGATTATGACCACCACCTATAATATTCAGAAGTCGAAAATTATATTTGTGAAAATCTCAGTGAAATGAGTAATTCCAACGCCACCTGAGTTCGTCAGACTCATCCCAACTTCTTCAGAGAAATTAATCGAAATTAACTAACATAACAAGGTTTATATGGAGAAAAGGCGGACATCTCTTGTTTTCAAAAATCTTTGTCTAATCATGATTCATAAAACAAGTATTATTATTATTATTATTATTGCATCGTTTAGTTCCTAGAGGAACATAGGGATTTCAGCTGCGAACCTCCATTGCTTTCTGTCTTCTGCCAACTTTTTCACCCCGCTCCAATTCTGTCCATATGCTTTCATCTCCTCTTCACATGACCTCTTCCAAGTCACCCTCACGCGGACGACCAACTCGCCGCCCACTTCCCTTTCGGGTTCCACTCGAGCAATGGCTTGTCTAGTGATCCCAGTCACTTGATGGTTTTCTCAGTGTATGGCCAATCCATCTCCATTTCTTCCTGCTTATTTGTTTCACAATCGGTTCCTGTTGGGTTGTTTTGCTCCCAGAGACCCCCGTTCCAGTTTGTGGGAAATCAGACATATATCATTGGCGAAGTCCAGATCCTCCAAGTCTCTTTTTGCGTGAGTCCATTTTATGCCTGTTTCCTCATTGCCCGTTGTCTGTCGCATTATCCAATCTACTGCAATCAGGAAAATCATTGGTGATAGTAGACAGCCTTGTCTCACTCCCGTCCTAACTTCGAAAGCTTTCGTAAGTTCCCCGTTGTGGATTACTTGTCATACAGGCAGCATTGTCGTATAACTGTTGGATGAGATGTATAACTGTCGATGGGACCCTTTGGTAGTAGTTGACAAATCACCTCTCGATCGACGCTGCGCTGTCTGCTGAAGGCCTTTTCAAAGTCGATGAAGTTGAGTGAGATAGAGAGCTGACTGCCATTCCAAGCGTTGTTCAGTGATGATTCGTAGAGTGACGATTTGATCAATACATGATTTGTTTATCGTGAATCCGGCCTGTTCCGGTCGAAGTTTTTCATCTAGGTTGGCGTGTTTGATTCTCTCCAGGATGATGCGGCTTAGTATTTTGCTTGGAATGGACAAGTATTCATGTAAAATAGTCTATATAAATGCGATTGTAAAGCTGGTTTTGAGAATGAAATTGACGAAAAGGTATCTTTAAGTTGAAAATTATTATAACCTTCGTTACTATGTGGAATTAGACAAATAATAATTGTATCGATGTATTAATAAAACAAGTATAATAGACAAAATTGTATGAGCTGTGATGAAAAGTTGACCTCGGAACTTCAACATTAATCTACCCTTGTTAAAATATATGTGTATGTCTGTCTGGATAGAACTTGGCACCGAAGTGCAGCAGTTCGAGTTCCCACGTTCCAAATAGCTCACAAAGGTAGACAAGAAGATGAGTGAAGAGAATCAATAGAGTTTGACAAGTATAAGAGTGAAACACAATGGGTAATGGTAGAAAGGAATGACGAAGATTACAGAGATTGAATACATCTGCACCATTGACAACAACTTAGAGCCATGTCACCTATTGTCTCCAGCCATTGATTCCTAGAGTCCCGAGGGCCCCAACTCGGGAGTCTGCATCTCCCTACCTGACTCAGTTTAACTGTCAAGGATTTCATGGATTGATGCCATGTGTTTTTGTTTGGCCACCACTTACTCTTTTCCAACCTGCACCACCTCTATCAGCTAGTAATGCCCATCGATGGAGGCGATGGTTAGGCATGCGCAGCACGTGACCGACATAGTCATCTCAATCTATGTAACTTTATAGCCTCGTCGATTGATTTTCCCTCTTTGCCCAACGCTCTACGCCTAACGTCAACATTACTTATCTTATTAAACCACCTAAAGTGAGAAATAGATTGCAGACATCTATGATCAAAAGCAGTCAACCTTTTCATGTCTTCAACTCTTATTGGCCATGTTTCAGAGCCATAGAGAAGGGCGGAGCGAACTGCTGAGCAGTACATACGTCCCTTGGTTGATAGCCAGCCGGATGTCACGCCTACGCCAGAGATGGTGTGGGTCAGCGAAAGCAGCTCGAGCATTTTGAATCCGTGCTGAGATTTCGTCGCCAATCAGTCCGTTGGTGCTAATACAACTTCCCAAATAGGCGAAGTGGTCAACATGTTCTATGACTTCACTCCCTATCACTAAGCTAGGAGTTGACGTAGTCCAATCCTGTAGCAGCGTCTTACATTTTACAGGGGCGAATCGTATGCAGTATACAATGGTGTGTGTATGTGTGTGTGGGTGCTTCGGTGAACAGTGATAAAACATTTTGTTAGCCTCTCCATAAGAAGACTAAGACCATCGGAAATTGTGACCAAGTATTATTAATTAATTAGTGATACATATCCATTTTTATTTATTAATCAGGATTTCCTATGCGTCATCTAACATCACACCTTCACGTCTGTTCAAACTGTTAGTATCTAGAATTTTATGATTAGACGTATATTTTTAAAATTAAGGTGTTTAGGATTAGAGTTTACTTGAAACACCCTGTCGAACTTATTGCTTTCTCTTCTTTTTGAAGAGTGAGCTGCTTTATTCGACCTAAAGACCAAAATTTTGAAAATACGTCTAGTCATAAAATTCTAGATACTAACAGTTTGAAGAGACATGAAGGTGTGATGTGTGTGTTAGCTGGTGCATAGAAAATCCTGATTAATAAATAAAAATATTTTCTTATTTTATTTTTTGATTACAGCTTGATTCCACACTGTATTTTTGGTACAAGTATGGAATTTTCAGCATGGATATCGGCAGCCTAAATTTTGCAGGCCGACCATTGATATCAGGTGTGCGTCGGCAAGGATTCGAACCTCGGACCATGTGCATGGTCGGTGAGAATCCTAACCACTGTGCCACCGACGCACAAAATGGATATGTATCACTAATTAATTAGTAATACTTGGTCAAAATTCTCGACTGTCTATATCTTCTTATGGAGACGTTAAGAAATGTTTTACAACCATTCACCCGCACACAGACCCACAAACACACTGTGTTTAAAGTGTGTAACAAAGGTAGATCAATGTTTGTAAGTCTGAGGTCAAACATTTTGATCACATCTCATGCAACTTTGTTTACTATACTTGTTGATACTTGTTTTACGACTCATGATTGGACAAAGTTGTAAAAACAAGAGATATTC